GCTTCCCTTGAACCAAATGGCATTTTTTTCAACCACCTGTTTGATTGGAAGTAGACCCAACTCTTTTTTCAAATAGCACTCTGTATATTTCTGTAGCCTATCTTAATCGATTTGGAATTCTCTATTCAACTGTGTATCACAATTTGATATTCGTTCATTAATTGGCTGTAAAATTGTATTTCATTGAAATACATGAAGTTGGCTGTGGCCCGAATGCAATGACATGTCGATGCTTGATAGGCTTAGAAATCCAAAGATCATTACTTAGACGATATTATCAGAATATTTTCCAAATACACTCAAAAAAATTGATGAGTTAAATCAACCAAAAAGAGCTTATGGAAATGAGCCTATCTGGTTTAATAATTAAATCAACCAGCGAACAATAGTTGAATATGTAATTGTTGTTTTGATCAAGAAAATTGGTTATCAACCAGATTTCAATCTCACAACGAAATGAGTGGTATGTTAACCATAATATTGTTGTCCCTTCACTTATATTTTGTATAGATAGCCATAATCAAAGATTACTGAATATCTTCTGTAGTCTATGCCATAATATTTGGTTCACCAACAAAGTGCATAGTAGATATTGGTAAATTGACTATTTTTCAGGTTCTTGTACCACTGAATTAATACAGATTTCGAATAGACATCAAGGTTATTCATTACATGGTGGTCAACTTTAGAAAATATCGACAGTATAATTCTCTTCATTTGTAATTTGTCGTCTCCGTTATTTGAATGTACTCTTCCATTTATCCTTCAATTGCTACCACAGTTTATCATCTTCTTCCTGCAAGAAAGGTAAAGAATCGAAATATGAATTTATTATTGAATTTATTGAATCCATGAATAATACTCACCATCACATAATTACGATCATCTGATAAATTTTCCTCATTATGATTATTAATTGGAATGATTACATCAGTGGTACTCCTTGACGGGAGATTTCGAGATGTTCTCAATCTTCTTGTATGGTTCTGGTACTTCAGTCATATACAACCTCCCTGGGGATATATCCATTCTTCTGTACTAAATGATCCAAAACTTGAAGAGAGTCTTGAGGAAAAGAGACGAACTTAAGCAATAATTTCATACAGTGTGTTAAATGATTACCAAATTTTTTACTCAATTACAACTCAATATTGAATACAGTGATACATAATCAACTTACCTAAATCACTTCATTGCAGAATAGGGTACAACGTGAAACGATAATATCAAAATAATATAAAGTCACAACACAAAGAATAAAATGAGACGCCAGCAACAAAATCTCATGTGGACGCTGTCGGCCTGCAAATACCAATGGGAAGATCACACCCTTCGAAGAAGGGTTGGTCGATTTTAACCTACTGTTCGTTTATCTACCAACTATGACAAGGAACGAGCTGTAATAATATATTAGTTATACAACATAATATAGTTTCAATACTATCTTTAGAGTGATTTGAAATCGTTGCAGGTTGATTTTACCTTCCTTTTCGTTTCATTACCAATTTTAACAGTGAGCAAGCTGTGATGGTATTTTAGTAACAATATAATATAGTTGAAATAATATCTTTAGTTTGATGTGAAATACTTAAATGTTGATTATAACTTCCTATTCGTTTGTCTACCAAATATAACAGTGAACAAGCTTTTATGATATTTCAGTTACAGTTATTAATGTTGTTGAAATACTATTCCTAGTTCGATTCGACTAATTTTTAGAAATTATTGGTTGTACCACAAAAATATTATCAAAACCAACTAATATGTTTGGTTGACGTTTATTTTGCTTATGTACAATTTTTCCTCAATTGTTTTGACGATCACCTAATCATTGAATGTACCATCATATTGTAGTTTTATTTACCAATTATGATGATGTTGTTGATTGAACACAATTTTTTGTCATTTCAACACATACTATATCTTTGAGTGATACCCTAATCAGAAGATTGCTCTGATGTGTATTCGAATGTGTTATAGAAAGCTATTGAAAGTTATAGAAAACTTCAGATTTCCACAAAGTTCTTGATCACATGTTTCGTTGATTATTATACAAAAAAAAGTTCAGTCAGTCGTTATAGGATGGAATAGTTGAACTGACTAGCAGTTTACCTAATGGTGAAACTTGAATAGTGAAAGAACTAAAGTGATATGTCGAATGGACAGTAATGAATCTTTTTAAGTGTCGTTTTTTATTATTTTCCGAATTTTTAAGAGGCTTATCTATGTGTGAAGAATGTTGGACGGTGTAGAGAGCTCAGAACATGATTGTAACGCCTACCCGCGGTTGTATCGAGCTACGAATGCAATGTCTACCGGGTAAGCTGAAAAAAACTCAACCTCAGAACTCATGTCAGTGAAGTGCCTTCCTTAGAGGGATAATGTCGAAAGGTAGCCAACAAAATTTGAATTACATGGTAGTCAATGATACTTTATTTCAAATGTCATTCCAATCTTAGCAAAATTGATAAAATATCTATGCAAAATCAAGAAAAATCATTGAATGTACCATCATATTGTAGTTTTATTTACCAATTATGATGATGTTGTTGATTGAACACAATTTTTTGTCATTTCAACACATACTATATCTTTGAGTGATACCCTAATCAGAAGATTGCTCTGATGTGTATTCGAATGTGTTATAGAAAGCTATTGAAAGTTATAGAAAACTTCAGATTTCCACAAAGTTCTTGATCACATGTTTCGTTGATTATTATACAAAAAAAAGTTCAGTCAGTCGTTATAGGATGGAATAGTTGAACTGACTAGCAGTTTACCTAATGGTGAAACTTGAATAGTGAAAGAACTAAAGTGATATGTCGAATGGACAGTAATGAATCTTTTTAAGTGTCGTTTTTTATTATTTTCCGAATTTTTAAGAGGCTTATCTATGTGTGAAGAATGTTGGACGGTGTAGAGAGCTCAGAACATGATTGTAACGCCTACCCGCGGTTGTATCGAGCTACGAATGCAATGTCTACCGGGTAAGCTGAAAAAAACTCAACCTCAGAACTCATGTCAGTGAAGTGCCTTCCTTAGAGGGATAATGTCGAAAGGTAGCCAACAAAATTTGAATTACATGGTAGTCAATGATACTTTATTTCAAATGTCATTCCAATCTTAGCAAAATTGATAAAATATCTATGCAAAATCAAGAAAAAAATTCATTATTATTTTCTTTAGGATATCTCCGTTTCGACATTTTTCTGGATAAAAAACCCAAAGATACCAATAGAGTTGGAGACTTGGTTGAAGGTTTACATATTTTTCGATGTCTAAAATTTATACTATATCAACTCTCAATTTTTTTTATTCTTCTTCAATACTGTATAGTGTATACCACATTTTCGAAATTATCGTATATTTCTCGTGAATCAACAAGAATTTCGTTTGATTCTTTCCTCCTCAATATCAAAACCAGAATTTGTGGAAAATGATACATTATCCTATTATTATCAACTTGAATGATACCACTATTGAAAGTTCAGAAAAAATTTCAATACCTACCTCCTGTCCCTATCCTCCCTAGGAACGCACGATGTTCTTTGAACATTATAGGGATTCCCTTTCGTGCGCTCCAAGCGATAAAAAAAATAGAACCTCTCTAAATCACTACATCCGTGTAAGTTCTTTCTATGGAGTTGTGAATTATTGACACCTCTGTAGAGTGAAGAAGTTTGCTAATTGAGTTTCAATTCAAGTTAGCATTGGAATCCACTCGATTGCAATAATTACTCCCAAGAATTTCAGACTGTGTATATACGATGAGAGCCAAAATAATTTTTTATATGACATTATGGTTACCATTCATTGAAAACTGATGGTTCCTGGTCCGCGGATGAGTATTTAATATCAAGTTTTGCTCTTGTAGTGTAATTTGGTATATTTGAAAGTATCTGGGTTCATGTTGAATTTCACACTGACAAAATCAATATAAACGAGGGAGAAATCGAAGAATATAGTGTTCAAATAGGCACTGCAGACTCCATCTGATGAGATAATTTGATCAGCCTCATTTTCTGACAACTATTTATATACGAGAAAATAATACTATTTTGTCGTTTCGATCTGAAGTTATTAAAAGGGTCATAGATGAAAAAACCCAAAGTCATCTCCACAACATTTAGTTGACGATCAGAAATCGATCACATGAAGGTACATGTTTCGGGCTTATATAAGCCGATCAAGAATTCAGTTATGGAAATGAAAAAGTTGAAAAATTGATAATTTAGACAATGAAATGGCACAAGACACAGACGTATGCACCATGATTAGGTATAATAATTTTTTTTGTTTTTTATAAAAACATTGATAGTTTTTATTTACGAAATGGGTCGGGTTATTAATTCTATAAGGGCCCACGTGCCCTCAAATTGCCAAAGGTGACAATCAAACATTTGAAAATCAAACTCAGTTTGATGGTGTTCGATTTTTAGATGTTTGATTGTCACCTTTGGAAATTTAAGGGCACGTGGGCCCTTATGAAATTGATAACCGGACCATTACGTAAATACGTAAATAAAAACTATTTATGATTTCATATGGAACAAAAAAATATAATTATACCTAATCATGGTGCATACGTCTGTATCTTGTGCCATTTTATTGTCTGAATTATCAATTTTTCAACTTTTCCATTTCCATAACTAAATTCTTGCATTCGGCTGATGATGGGCTTATTTAAGCCCAAAACAGCTACCTTTATGTAATCGATCTCTGATCGTCAAACAAATGTTGTGGAGATGACTTTGGGTTTCTTCATCTATGAAATATACTACTTCACTTTGAGTTACCATGGACTTCTTCCAGAGATTATTAAAAGGGTGTTATAAATGGATTACATCGTTCATGTAAGAAGTTCTCTAGGCACTCGTTGAATACTACACCGCACAACCACAGCTATTTTTCCTTCAAAATATGAACAAATCATAATATCATGTATACATTCTTTATTCAGTCTTATAACTCATCATCAATCACACTAACAGCTTCAACCAGTATTGCACATAATAATTATTTAGGTACTAACAGTATTCTATTGAATGGGTGACATAAAAATATGTATCTCACATATTAAAACAAACAATATTTTTTGTAGAAAATGAAACTTACAGTATTGATTCATCGTACTGAGAAGCTCAATGTAGGTATTCCTATTACTGTAAACATCAATCATCTTGTAGCTCAAGTTATGGCACTGTATTGGACAAGTGGGTCAATCACTGCTAAGATGGGCAACATTCAGTTGGTGACTCTAGCAATATTTATTTCTCGTCTCCTATTAGGAAATGTTGGATCTCTTCCAAAGTTTTGCCCTTGGTTTCTGGCACATATTTTACAATGAATATGAGGCCTAGGCCACAACAAAAAGCGAAAAAAAAGAAAGGAATACTCATCGTCTCAAACTCGTCCATAGCTATCTGGAAGAGTTTAGATACTACAGCGCCCATGAGAACAGAGAAAGTATCTGCTACACCTAGAGCCTTTGCCTTGACACTGGTAGGAAACAGTTCACTCAGTACACTAACTGGACCAAAAGCCAATCCAATACTGAAGAGGATGTTGTAGGAAACCAATGCTGTAATTGGCAGCCAGTCTAAATCCTCAACAATACCCAAATGGTAATCTTTCAAGTAGAAGTGAAGAGCTAACAAGAAGACAGATATACCACATCCAGCTGCAGAAGTGATCATCAGTTTTCGCTTTCCGAATCTATCAACTATGAACAAAGTGGTGGCAGTCACTGCTATCAACTCCATACTACAATATATTATCACAGATAATGTAGGATTGATTTTACTACCGCTTTCCTTGAAAATGGTCTCGGTGTAAAAAAGACAAGGATTCTTGCCACTGAACTTGTTCGTCAAACAGAGTATGAGGAAAATGAAGCAAGCTCTGCGAATACTGGGCACGGTAACAAGATCCAAGAAACCAGTTCTTTCTGATCTTTCTTGCCTAGTGACAGCCTTCTGGAGACTCAGCATCTCGTTAGCTATATCAGTGGTTCCTCTGAGAATTTCCAAAGATACTCGCGCATCTTCGTTATTTTTCTTCTTGATGTAGTAGTAGGGTGACTCTGGCATGGCAGCAAACACTATGAAGTGAATCACCGGTATCGCGGAGCAGATGATGCTGGATGTGAATATGTCCGTCAGTGAACCAATTACGTTGATGAAAAGAGTCCCTGTTATAGCGAATATGGCGATGGTGGCTGTCAGGAAACCCCTTATTTCAGGATCGGATATCTCACCTATATACATCGGCAGAGCTGTGTAAGAGGCACCTTCTGTTGCACCGATGATGAATCTCAGAGCACTGATCTCCCAGATCGAACTGGCGAACGCTAGCAGCACGAAACAAAGGAATACTATGGGTGCCAATAGAAGGGTGGTGAATTTTCTTCCGATCCTATCTGCTAGGAAGGCTGATATCAATGCTCCCACTGGAGAGCCTAACAAGGGTGCGATTGCACACCAGGATCCTTCGTCGCTGGTTGTGGGAATTGTAGAGGTGTTTGAAGTGAGTATTGGTAAATAAGGTGAAGTCCAACCAAGGTTTATTCCAGAACTCATGATTGAGAATGCTCCTGGAAATAAAATTCAAGTTAGCTGCTGAGTTACATATCTTGATTGATTGATACAATCTCTTCATAATTGTTTACATCATACGTCCATGGTTTACATCATCATCATTATCATCACGATGGATATTTCCATCGGTAATCGCCCAGCATCTGTCTATGCCAAACTTCAAACAATGAGTTGAAAATTTGCCCAAGTAGTTATAATTTGTCCAATAATGGATCTGATTCGATTTGAATCAAAATACGTGAGTTAGTGGGATGATAACGGGAAATAATTTACTATCTATCTTCAAGTTCTTATAAATTCAGACTCTTCAAGACAAAACGATACAATGATGAGAACGTTGTGTGAGAAAGTTTGGGAGTTGATACAATTTATAAATCACCTTTCATCATATAATGAAAGGACAATCATCTGAAGCACCATTGATCGAAAACAAATTTGGTTACGAAATCGAGTATTTATTTCCGTAATTATCAGAATATTCGAAATCGTTGAAAGTGCATCAATCGAAATAAAATACAGCACATAAATCAATAATAAAGAGAAATTATGTTCATTATACCTGCTATTGTTGCAATATATTGAAAGAGATTGCCTTTGTTGTAGAAAATTCCCGTTTTCAACATTTTCTAGTCAGTGAAATACAAGTTTACATAAAGAGTATTCCACTTGTACTGCCGAATGTACCTTTTTGCATAGTCATAGTCTGTGAGGAATTATTAAATAATTCATCTGGATTATTGGGGGATTTTTATTAAATTATATAAACATTTGTTATTCATATGACAATAATCTGAGTAAATAGCCTTGACATTGGTTGCTAAATGAAGATAAGAGTATACACCTTGAAGGAAGTTGGGTGCATTATATAGGCATGAAATAAAGTGCTCATACAAACAAGTTAACCACTCAAATTCTGATCTCTTTTCAAGATGCCGTAACTTTTTTGGAATTTGATCGACTTCCATTCAGAATGCCTTCTCCAAAAGATGCTGTTTTCCTGTTTGAGATTCATTGTTCAAAACTTATCGAAGTTATGAATTACCGAGTGGTCAAAATTAGTGTCACATAATCTAAGAAGTTCAAAGCTCCTGTATTTCTCAAGAACTTATGATCTCCGGAATTTCGAAAAAAAAAATTAATTATTAGGTATACACTCAGAGAAATAGTCGGTAGGGAGAATCAGACGTTTAGTAAACGTCAGTCACCACATTCATCAAATAATACCACAATAAAATTGTATCATACTATACTATAAGTATCATACTATTTTGTAGTGGTAACATTTGGCATAGTATAGTATTATTCAATTTTTTAGTGGTATTATTAGGTGCATGTAGTGACTGGCGCCTATTTTAGTAAATGTTTTTTTTATCGCTTGGAGCGCACGAAAGGGAATCCTGAACTTCTGAAGATTATATATGTTGCTGGAAATACTTCCTCAAGCAATGAATTCCAGAGCCTAGCCGTTCTATGGATGAAGGAGTCTTGATAAAATGCTGTTCGACATCTTTAGAGGTTGACAACGAAAGGATGTGCTGACTGGGCTTGTCTAGTTCGTCTGATTGGTATTGATAGTGAAGGGATGATGCAGAGATTTCCGAAGAACATTTCCCGTGGAAGTATTTACTACCGACTATTTTTTTCAGTGTAATATCATCTTTTTCAAATTTTCAAGTCGATATCTCGAAATGGCTCTGGAATTTTAAACCGTTCCTATACAGGATGTGAAATATCGATGTTTTTCAATATCCTGTATTTTTCCGCATTTCTGAGAATTTGAAATATTTACGCGATATTCAAACCATACTGCAATGTGATACGGTTGAATTCCTTCCTGGTGATAGCATAATGATAGTCGTTGTCACGAGCTTGGCAGGTCTCTTATAATGGGATGTTATATGGAGTGTTAGAATGATTTGGAATAATTGAAATGCAATCATTTGCTCAGAATCGCGGAATATAGTGGTTTCTCAATATCATATACCAACCCACGAGTGTCTGGAAATCATCGTACGAAATTTTTTGGAATTTGTTAGACAGGGAAAAATTTAGCCTTTTATTCCTTGTTTATATTTTGTATGTTGACCTCGACATATTATTTATGATGTTTGGCTCTAGATATGATGATATAAATATTTATGTAAGTACTCAACTAGTGAAGAATGATGGGTCATTTGAGGGTGAAACTTCTTTGGATACAAATTTCAGTTGGATGTGATTTATTTGTGATCTTCGATGATAATTTTGAGAATAGTGATTTCGACAGTGAATTCTGTTCGTTACTCTGTTTCAATTTCTATAGTTGTTTCAATATAAAATGTTGACTTTTGCATGTAAAAAGTTAATTACCAAGTGAGGATGATAAGAAAGTACAATAATAATAATCATGTCAGAATTAAAATTTCGTTAATTGTTCACATTCATGTTCAGGAATAACATATTTTCCAAATTCGTGTTTAATGAAGGATTTTTCTGATAACACTATTTTCCATTCAACCTATTATTGTATTGTTTGCTAGATTTCAAATGAAATATAGATTTATATACCTCATCATTCATTAATCTCAATATTAAAATGGATTATTCTGTACTGTTTATCATCCACACTGGGGGTATTCATGTGAAAGAAAATAAAACACAATTGTTTGTTGAACTATACGGTCTATTCCAATGATAAACAATGCGACACATAGTGGTATTCCAAGATGAGGTTCCACCAGGCAATTTGTACCCGTCTTCTATGAACAAGGAGGTACCCTTACTTGAAAAATAATAATTAAAAAATTTGATGAAGGAGCTAGGCTCGAGGCTATAGGCTATAACAACACGTTTGGATTGGGAATGTAAAATTCTAATGTTTTTGATAAAAGCAAAAGTTCACACGTTTGAAGGTGTGTGTGTGTATGGACCTAAAAATGGAGAGATTAAGAAAATAACCTAGTAGTCAGCAAGGAAAAGTTCTGACAAATCAATGACTAGCTTGAAACCAGTAGATACTTGATATAATAAACCATTAAGCATACGCCGAAACCGAGAGGTTTATTAGGTCAGAAATATGATCAACAAGAGTCCTCATTCTGAAAATGATATAATATCTAATTCTATTACCAAATAAATGACAATACATCAAAAACGTCAGCTGGGAGCCTAACGAGAGTTGGACACCTAAGGACACCATAATATAATATTTTGGAATTTACCTATTCATCGTGGAGATATGAAACCAGGAAAAAACTGTAAAAACAGATATAGGGGGCTTTTTTGTTTGCTTTGCTATAAGGTAGAGTATTATCTACTTAGCTAATACTGTTCCACATTACTCATTGGTTATATAAGAAATAGAAGTGTAGAATAGTTGAAGGACATAGATATAATGATTTTTCTGGAGGTTTTTGGTAGGTTACTCGAATAATTCATCAAAGACGTTGGGCCGCAATCTCGTCTATTCAGTACTCACGTCATAATTCCTTTCCCTGGGTAAGGAATTATCAAGTAAATATTGGATATGCTATATTCAATCGATACAACTGTGAACTATCGAGATGAATCGATACTCATTAATATATAGTAAATGTCATCAATGTAGATTACCCCTATTACCAATAATTCTATACAAGTTTATAGCTGATCACTAATCGAATAGGGTGTAACACGTTCTGGGTTCGATATAATGCGCCAAATGATCAGGTCTAATCCTCAACGTTCATACCGAGGTTTGTATAATCTATTACTGAAAGATTTTGGTGAACTCCCTATTTCAATGAACTCAATATTCTGATTACATCCCTTTTAGCAAATATTTATGTCATGATATGTCACAATCCAGTTTATAAGAAAACAAGTTATTCTCAGTTCATCCATGACATTGTTGAAATCAGTTGAATCTTGAGAGCACTATTAGAAATAAGTAGCGTCTGGGGAGTATACTTGCTATAAATTTTAGAATGTTTTGGGGAGTGCAGCGTTGCTAGTTATCGCTGTGCGTTTGAATCTCACGTCGGCGACCCGGGTTCAATGCCTGCAACGGTCGGCTTTTTTATTGGTTCTGTTGTGATTGCCAAAAAAATATAATTTTCAGGAAGAAGGTTCATTAAGTTCATTAGGCCGATTAATGTTAGATGGTTTGAAAAAAGTAGTGCCCTTTTGATGCAGGACGGATATTTCCTGAAAAAAGGACCTATACTGTCTTTTTAGGAAGAAGGTTCATATAGGCCGAGTGAGTTTAGATGGTTCAAAAAATAGTGTTCTTTTTATGGAGGAGGGATATTTTCCTTCCTCCGTGGAAAAAGTACTGTGGAGGCATTTACTGATGAGAAAACGTGTTGACAAAATTATTTTCGCGAGTGAAGGTTTGTTTTGTCCGAGTTAGATGGTGTTGTTTTGAATAATAGTCTCTTTTCACTTCCATGTGAATTCATGAAAATACTATTTTCTTCTCTTTGGGTTATCCTATCAGTTCAAGATCATTGCAGTACTTTATTCCCCAAGTTAAAGAAAATCAGCACAATCCGGCAACATTGATATGACTGACAAGGAATTACTTGAAGTCCCCACCACTATTCCATTTTATGACACAGGCTCCGCAGACGCAAGTTTCGAAATATCGGCGAGGTCGAAGCGTAACTGGATTGCTAGCTTGATATATCACTGATTATTTTCTTCATATGATTTTGAACCAATCAGAACGTTCAAAGGAGTTGAGCTACCTTGTATAATTTCGAATTTACGTGGATATAGTAAGATAAACTCCTCCAATGAGAAATTTCCATTTCCATAGTAACTATAATTCATATTCTTAGATACAAACAAAGCGCGTCGTCAAATTTTCACGTTTGTTCAGACTATTCAGAAATTAATCGCGTCGAACACAATCCGACCTTCAAAATCTTCAAGGTTATACATCTCAAACTTCCTGCATAATAATTACAAATCGTGTCAGCTCAACGGAATAATCCTGCCTCCTCGCGGTCGGATTATTTCAACTATCAAACTGACACTCTTCGTAATAATTATGCAACAAGTTATTGATGTATAATCCTAATATTTTGAAGTACCTATAGAATTACTATCGAGCATTCAGGAGATATGGGTAGGTTCATAGTGTGATAGACAGAGCCACCTTGCAGACAAAATGTAATGATAATCAGCCTGGGTTCTACTTGTTCCAAATTGACGATCACCCCGGTGTACCTTAACGATTTTTCTCGACCACTAATAGACGGGCGGATTTGTTTGGGATTTTGTTCAGGGAAATCAAGAGAGAATTGAAAATTATGAAGAAGCCTCTGTGCCTTTCAACATCGTGATGAACGTCAAAGTATTTTTCAATTGCAATTATGATTTTTTGTGTGTGTAATGTCTGTTCAGTGCCTTCCGTAGGTTCGATTAAAATGTCTTTCAATGCGATATTGTCACAACAATGGCGAGAAGTGTAAGGGTCTTTATTCTGTAGTCCTTACTTTGACGCTGTGTTCAGGACAGGAGACTACTCTGGTATTTGACAGGGGGGATTCTCGAGCGCCAGATTGTTTTTGAGGTAGTTTACTCTACCTGCTCTGCACAAAATATTTTTGTACAGAAGCCCAAAGTAGCAACAGTGGAGAGAGGTACAGGAGGTATACCTACCCCGGTACCTACAGTATAAACCAGGGGTCAATGGTATTGAATCGACCTGGAATCA